GAGGTTTCTATTGCTAGTTGTGAAAGGTCCTTCAGCAAGCTGAAATTAATTCTTACATACTTGAGAACCTCAGTGACTCAAGAACGACTTAGTAACTTGGCAATATTATGTATTGAAAAAGACGTACTTAATACCTTAAATGTTGATAGTTTAATTGATGCATTTGCAGCAGCAAAAGCACAAAAGGTTCATATAATGTAACCATGAATACCAGAATGCTACATGTACAAGATCTAGTTAAGTATATGTACAGTTTTGTAAGCTAATAAAATTTGTTATTTGTAAACTAAAGTAGTATTTTATCAATCTGTTTTATAATCCATGTATACCACAAGTGACTGGCTTCTCATATAAAACATAAGTTTCAAAACTAGGGATATAACAGAAATTTATTCTGCATGCTTGAAAAATTACTTTAGCTATATGACTTTGAACAATACTGGATGACATAAATATCAAAATAGTTTACAAATTATGTTATATTGTGACTTTATTTTAAGCCTATGTGAAGCGATAATTAATTATTTATGTTATTGTCCTTAAGTGGGTGATGAGTCACAAAACATTTCAGAGGAGGGGGCGCCAAAAGTGTCTTTGCCCCCGGGTGCTGAGAACCCTTGCTACGCCACTGCATATAACGCCTCTATTTGTCGTTCAAAGCTACAAGAGCACAGTTGTTCCTAATTTTGAACTGATAGACAAGAGAGAAGTCATCCAGTTAAGAGTATCCACCAACAGCTCTTAGGGGTACTCTTGTCTAACTGAATAGTAGGATTTGTCTGTTATTTCTTTAGCGCACCCAAGTGCGGAGCGCGTTTCTGCGGCAACGAGACGCGAACAATGAACCTTAGGATTCAGAGTCATAACACGCCAAGATTAGGCCACGACCGTCCCTCATAACACCTCTAAGCTGCCATGACATATCCGTTGAATAGATTTTTTTGTTTGTTTGTAGTTATGCACAAAGCTTCCCAATGGTTATCTGTATTGTGCCCACCACGGGTATCGAAACCTGATTTTTGATATTTTAAGTCCGCAGATTTACTGCAGAGCCTTTGAGGAAGGGGTCAGTTAAATAGAAACAAGCAAAACAAGAAATATTGTACTTTTTCAATTGTCTCTTAAGTATGTCATTAAGTTATGCGTGTATATTTTCATATACTGTTCAGTAACGTTGAAATTATTAGCTGGTTAGTTTTGACCACTCTTTCTTTATATATTAATAAAAGTAGTTTATCGAGGTGAGATTTTTTCTATCGAACGAACAACAGCTACTACGCACAGAATCGTTGAAACTTGTGAAATGGTAAACAGATCAAAACATTATCTTGCAGTGTTATATGTCCTAATACAGAAAACTATGTTACTTTTCTTCCTAGTTACGATTCTAAAAATAGCGTAACGTAAGTTTTGCTAAGCTAAGATAATATAATGCTGCACGAATACAAATTGTAGAAAAAATAGTTAAAGACAAGGTGAAAGTTATAACAGGCAGAACTACGAAGAAAATTCTATCAAACACTTGATTAACCACTGTTATACCTTGTTTATAGCATTCGATTTGCCTTTGCTATCTGAAATAATATTGGTATTAAACCACACTTGAGTAACTATATCCAATTCCAACTAATGCTGTAACCTGCATTGTAAATAATTTAATATAAGGGAAATAGTGTTTGCATTTTTTAAGCCGGGGTGAATACTTGAAAATATATGTTTTTCGTGAATTTAAAGTTCCTAAGTGAACAATAAAAGAATCTTGTTTTTATCTGATTTAAACGAAACTTCCTTACTTTGAATGTACTTTATTCTATAGGGTGGAATGTATGTCTTCCAGCTGATGGACTATTACAGCGCTAGTGGGATTACGTTATTATGGTTCTCTTTCTTTGAAACTGTTGTAGTGACAAGGATCTATGGTAAGTATAGTAACAGGAGAATCATATTTTGGAAGTTGATCGTAATATAGATCAATGGTAATTCAGAAAAACAAGCATGAGTCGGTCTCAACCAGTAGTAAGTCAGAGAAGTAGCAGGTGGCAGGCAGACTAAACCAGTGAAACGTCCTAGAAGTCGTAATCGCCATCTATAGTAATGCATTTTAATGCGTTTTATGAAGATTGTTGATAAAACATAAAACACTTTATTTACAAGGTTCGAACGTTTAGGAATAATTTATTCCATCTTCAGCGAAATCTGAAAATTGTGTTACAAAGATGATTATTACTAAAATTATAATATAATAACATAATCGTTAGTTTACTTAATTATTAAGAAAAACGGTAAATGGACGGTTGAAACAATGTTTATATATGTATTACACAACAACTGAGTTAATTTTCATACTTAACGTTTCACACTTCATCTTCATCATTAAAGCGTTTTATGATTTGCATTTGTTTGAAATCGCTTGGAGTATTGAGCTTCTGTGACTTTAAGTTTTTGTACTAATACTCGGATTTATGGGAATTATATTACTGTCCATAAGTTTGATTTTGAATGTGTCAGAACGCTATAGTCAATTAGGCAACCATAATTTGTGTCTATAAAAAATTCACAAGTAATTAGTCAAACAAAAATTATAAATAGTTGGTGCAATAATGTTTATATATATATATAACTAAACAAATAACGATACTACATGTAAGAATGAAATAAAACGAGATTAACGATATTTGTTTCGTTTTGAAAATATTAAAAATGTAAATATAGTTTTATACTCTGAAACAACCTAGAAACACGTACGCTAAAGAGATTTAAATAAATGTGTATTTATCGTGTGTTACCTAACTGTTTAGATTTTCTGGTACTATTTTTGATGTTCACTACATCCAACAAAATATCTTCTGTTATAAAGTGAAACAAACAGAGATTGGTTGTATTGAATTCCGATGTTTAAATCTATTTTAACAACTAGTTTTGCATCGTTTCTTTAATCCTACTAATTTAGGAATGTTTCTTTGTTTTTCTAAAGTGTGGAAATCTTACATGAAGTATGTATGGAAACAACGTACCGTGGAACCAACTAAAGAAACCAAAACATTTCAACTTTTTATTTTTACAAAAGACACGAAAAAAATGCTAAATTTTACTCTAGAAATATTGTATCTTCATTGTTAGATGTAGTTTTCCCTTATTCTTACAACATTTTATGCTACTTTATTTCTTTTATATTCAAAAGCCACTAAAAAACGTGTTAAATTTCTACTATAAAGACACTATTTTAGATTCATTATTAGATATGGTTTGTCTTATTTTCGCAACATTTTATGCTACTTTTAATCAACGAATTAAGTGTAACGTACCTATGAAACGTTTTTTTTTTAAAGAAACGAAACGTTGTAAAAGTACTTACAGGTAAAATTGGTAAAGATCTTTGGCTTTTTAGCATAGGATACCAATTTTGTAATGTTTTATTCCCATACAGTACAAGCAAGCTCCTCATTGGCACAGCGGCATGTCTACGGACTTACAACGCTAGAAACGGGGTTTCGATACACGTGGTGCGCAGAGCACAGATAGCCGTTTGTGTAGCTCTGTGCTTAACTACAAATAAATAAACCTTTGTACAATTAAAAAAGTATAAAAACATATGAGTTAATAATTTCTAGTAGATTAGAGAGGATTTATTTATACTACTCAAAACAGTTAAGTGATAATCAGAGCTATCTATATTCTGGCTAAGAAGAGGTGCAAGTACTTTTATTTAATAATGTTCCTGGTCCATTTTTACTCAAAATAAGTGTTAGTGACTAATTATGACTTCAGTTGTATATAATAGTAAAGGAAAGACCGTGTGTGTGTGTACCCAACTAACACTGTTGAAAGAGATTCATGTCCAACGTGGAATATACCAACACTTTCTTGAAGACATTTGGACATTTCCATCATGTAGAGAGCAATATGTTGGCCTGAATCTGGTCAAGAAGTTGTCGTACAGTAACTAAAACTATCACAAAGTATGATTAACATAATATGAACTCACTTTTAGACCACCGATACAATTGATCGGGGATCTAGACAGGATCGACCATTATCGAAAACCTGTAAACAACCATTATTTGACACTGTAGTCTCGTTTCAGCTTCCCATCTAAATCAACAGTTCAGTCAGAATATAAACAGTTAAAGAAAAAAGCTTTCAAGAATTTGGTCATTATGCTAGATAAGCAATGGCGTACCTTCCTCTAATCCATTGCTAAAAAACAGTATGTCTTCAATGATGCCAAGAATATGTGAACTGGTCAAGTCAACGTGTGCAAATGTCTTGATCAACAACAAACCGTGCTTCCCATTGCTGCGCTGGTTGAATAATGGATAATATTACCCTCATCACCTCCTCGATTTACCCACTATACCGGACTTGCATTAAGGTGCGATGTGATGATAAGCTTTGGCAAGAAATATTTCTGATAACGTAAAGTCTGTAATGTCAAATAAGCATTTGTGGATATGAACTCCAATAGTAGAGATTTGAATATCAAATCTTATGATCGGTCACCATATGCTTGTTTTACGTATAAATGAATTCAGTGGTGCCATTGACATTATATAATAATAGTAGTTGTGCTTTGTCACAGCTAGAATATATAAAATTCCAAACATTCCATAGTTATTCTTTCTTTTTTTCAACTCGATTTTAAAAGATTAGGCAATGTTTTTAAAAGACTTCCATGTGTATACCCACATTTTCCTTACTATTTATGTGTGTTATGTATTTAAGGAATTCTGTATACATTCCTGGCATATGTAACTACTGGATTCAAGTTTGTTTTAATAATCAGGATGAGTTACAGCCATAGCAGGCAATTTGTGGAAATGTAGATATGTCTTTCAGTTGTGGGTTATTACACTCTTTCATGTTAAAATGGAAATATGTTTTTCGTGGAGTAGTTTCTGACATTAGGTGCCAAGAAAACTAATGTTTTATTTTTGTTTCCACCTATACCATATATGACTTAAATAGTTGATATTTTCATTAAATCATCAAGAAATGCTTATTGATTCATAAGTAAAATATATTATACAATGTGTTGAAACTTTGGTGAAGTTTGTTCAAGTAATGTTTGGAAGCTGTTGATAAAGTAGTCATTACATACGACTTGTTCTTCTTCCAGTGGATTAATTTGTAAATATTTTAAATGACTTGTATAGAAAACACTCTAATAACCTAAGTTGCATTTATTTTGTTTTATTTCTGTCTATCTATACAAAAATTCTACTATTGTTACATTAAACATTTATTTTTCTTAGGGGTGGATCGTTTCTATGGCAATATTGAGGAGATGCTTGGATACCGTATAAACCCATGGCTGAGCTGGTGCTGGCTGTACTTTACTCCGTTAACTACAGCTGTATGTTGTTACAGTTACATATTGTATTGAATATTATCTTGCATGGAATATAATTGCTTAGAACCTGGTTTCAATGGTTACTGATGTTTTTTTTGTTAAAGTTGTACAGGTTTTTTACAGCTAGATTTATATACACGACATCCCGATTATATCCGATCTTCTTCATAAACAAACAGTTGTCAAAAGCCACAAGTAGGGCTGTTAAGGTCTAATCATTTTGAACGTAGTATTTCATTCTTCTTTTTCTGAATATAAAAAAGAAATATGTTTGTTCCATATGCATCATTGTATATGAGACGACACGAATAATAGCTTTTGTAAATTCAATTAACACTAAAATAAATACAATTAATGGGTTTTCTTCTTGTTATTGAAGTAAGAAATCAGATAGCTTTTGACTGTGAAATTGTGCTTAGTTTATACAGTGTATGTAAACCTTTTTTTGGTAAACTTCATTGCTAGATTCCGTGACTTTAAGAGCCCATTCAAAGTAATTATTATCATTGTATCCAGACTTGCAAACAGTCTCTAGTAAGTGTCAGTGTCTCCGTGGTTAAGTGACATTTGTTTGAAATTATTTCTTATGATTTATTTGTTTGCAATTTCATAATTGATTAAAACGAAACGAAAACAAACATATCGTTTCTCTAGCATTTCACGTTGGCTTGGGAAATTACTTTTTTTTTGAAAGACACAATCAAACGCAATTATGCTTGATAGTAAATGTTAAAATTGTAGCGTCACAATCGTACTTTACCAGTATCCTAAGTTGCATGGATTATATTTAGTAGGTCTTTCTAATCTCGATATTATATCTATAGTTATTAAGGATAGTGTTTTGAATAGCTAGAGAGTAGACATATTTTCTCGGAGTTCTGTTGGACTCGGAGCTATTTCTTCTAAAAAATAACAAATAAACTCGTCTACATAAGGCTAGTTTCACTACCCAGAAATAATTAACAAACTACTTTGATTTACAAACATACAGACTAACCTTTTGTAGTTTTATTTAGTATAGCTTAAAGTGAAACTAGAAACTAACTGTAACAGATATTCAGATTCGTAATGCAAAAGGTCTATGACTTTGTTGGAAATTTCTTACTCATTGATTAGGGCAGTATAAGGAAAGGTAATCTCACATTATAATTAATAGTTGTATTTGTTAATACAGCGGCATCTGTAGCGCCACATATATAACATTTATAGCACTTGTGTATTTCTTGGCAAATTTTCAATCATTTCACATACCTGTCTGAAGAAGAATATTCGTGTAGCGAAATACCAAAGAAAGTACACCAATAGAGTACACCAACTTCGAAAATGGCTATTTATTACGTGGTGAATAAGAGAAAATTAGCACAGCATTATGAGGATACATAATCATCAAAACAACATCCCACCAAACGCAAGACTGTTTCTACCATTGCCAGAATCACAAACTGGTCGACAAGGAATCATAACGCTCCTTCTAGAAAATTACTGCTGACAAGTTGCACATTTCCGTGCAAACAACAACATAAATTGCAAGTGCTCAAGCTTTTTTCCATATACACTGACCAGAGAAATAAAAACTGTATGAAAAAACTATCTTGCGCGTTTAGAGATAGAAATTCCTGGTTTGGTTTAGCGATTGTGACAAAAAAAAAATTCTACAGATTGTTAAGTGAGGAGAAATATCCGATATGGTTTGTTCTTGTTTTTGGTTTGTTTGTTTTTGTTGTTGTCGAATTTCGTGCAAAGCTACTCGATGTCTATTTACGCTAGCCGTCCCTAATTTAGAAGTGTTAGATTAGAAGGAAGGCAGTTAGTCAATACCATCCACCCCCAACTCTTAAGCTATTATTTTACTAACGAAAATAGGATTCACCGTTACATCATAACGTCCCACGGCTGAAAGAGCCAGAATATCTGGTGACGGGATTCGAATTAGTGACCCGCAGATTGTGAGTCGAAAGCCCTAACCCTAATCACCAGTTCATGCCGGAACGTGTATAAAGAATGTAGTAAAAAAAAAAAATGTTTCGTAGGCTTTTAAGTTGCCTCATGTTTCTCGTGTAATTGGAAATTTAAGCTTCAGAAGATGAACAGAGAAAGAATAGTGAATTCTAGTTACCACCAGGAGAATATATTAGCACTAAACACGCGAGATTGAATCACTATACTATATGGCCAAGACATCAAGAAGATACGACTTCGTTAAGATAAAGAAAAAAGCCAAACGTGAAATTCTGCAAACCATGGAAAAACGAAACCAATGTTTATGCTGTCTCTATCATACCTATGAAGTAACTCAATTGCGGACCAGTGGACATTACATATATTTGGTTTGTGTAGATGTCTTATCGGAAGCCTATGTTTCAGTAAAATGGAGGGTTTGAGGAAAGTTTTCAAGAGGAGTGGTTAAGATTGACCTCGTTAGACAATATTACATAATCATAGCCATTAGAATAAATGCGACGACAACGCGAGAAGAAATTTGTTAACCTTCTGTATATCTTTTCTTCAGGTAACCATGCTTATTCTCCCTTTTAATAAGCTAGGAGTAATAGGATGAAAATAAATACCACAGTGAGTACAGTAAACAATATTAACATATTTCCCATACCTTTTTTATAAATAAATTAATTAAAAAGGACAGAAATCATGATAAAGTAAATATCTATATATCTATATTATATTTTTTGCTTAGGCTATCTTTGTCTTCAGCATTGTCACGTACGACCCTCTGACCTATAACGTTTACTACCAGTATCCAAAATGGGCTATTGCTATTGGTTGGCTTCTTGCACTTACATCAATGGTGTGTATACCGTCTTACGCCATTTTTAAATTCTTCTCCACTCCAGGAACGTTTCTACAGGTGAGACCTGAATTTAACTAACCTGTTGCGTAACTTATGTAGAAATTAATGTTTTCCTACCCCAAATATATTTAACGTTTTTTGTTTGTTTGTTTGTTTGTTTTTTAACAAAGACCTATTTGCTACTTGATTGTTCTAGCGGTGGAATTTCTTGACAACTTCAACTCTGAGTTCCAGTAAGACTGAAGATAAACAAGAAACTACTTTAAACACTACTGATGCTGCTTCCTCATTTGTACTGCCAACAAATCTATCAGGAATAGATCCACCAGCTGACTGTTCTGAAGTAGTTGGTTATAAAACAACATTACCACATTAACATGGCAATGTTGACCAGAATATATTCTCTGGACTATTCAACAAGACATATTCTGTTAATTCTTCTTAGTTTTCATCCTTGTAATACTAAGTATAGATTGATGATAATATGTTTGTACCTCTAAATCAGTGCATTTAACTCTTTGAAGGCCAACTGCTCCGTCCAAGAACAAGCTAATGGAAACGCTTGCATTTACGTTGTTCATGGTTAAATTATAAAATTACAACAGCAATGTTTTTGTTGTTTATTACTCACTTCCACTAGAATTTTGTTTGATAAAACACGATAAGTGTACGTACCCTAACGACAATAATTATTTCCCTAATATTTGTATTCTTCAGTTTATTCAGTTTATGAGAAATAAAAGAATTACGGGTTATTTCATAGTTGACTCTTTTTTTTATTTAACGAAATAAAGTTTACAGTTTGTTGACGTTTAAAAGATAATGTTTATTGTATGATACCGCAGTTTAAGAGAAACCACTTCTGTCCATCTTGCCAGCTTTATGGATTCATTAGGACATCTCGTACATTTAGAATAGTTCACCATGTATGTGTACGTAACATTTCTCACTTCAGTAAATGGAATTTACTCAGACTGAAAATACAGATACGAATTGTCTACGTTTTGCTATTGCATTTTGTAAATTAATGCTGTTTGTGATTTGTTATATATTCATGAAGTTTTACAGTTTAAAGAAAAGTAAATATTTACATATTTTTAAATCAAGTGTCATGATTTAAATCATAACGATTTATCCTCCCCCCGGATATAATAAATCATTTTTTTTATATAGTTTACATACATGCATACCTTAACCACAGTATCTAAATTGACTTAATAACTCGACGTTTGTTTTCGTACAACATATTCTATATGTTATTCACATAATATTAAGACTTAAGTACGATTATGCTATATGTTTGCAATCAGTGTATTATGCTTAACTTTTTATTCCAATGTATCCACACATTTATCTAAATGCATTATTATTGGAATGAATCCTCTTTAAAGAAAAATATACTACCATGACTATAACTTTAACCAGACACGAACGTATGTACAACGTAATTGAAAGAAAAGGATTTGGGTTCATAAAATATTTAGCTATCACTAGCAAGCGCTGTGGACGTGTTAGTGTTGTAACGTTGATATGTTGTAGTTTGTGTCTTATTGTCAGAAGGAATAACTCAGTACTTTCTATCAGTGGAAGGTACACATTTATATGGAACTGCTTGATTCGTTTTAGCAATGGGAGATATAACTTTACATGGAACTACCTGGTACTTTTTAGCAGTGGGAGATGCACGTTTACGTGAAACTACTTGGTACTTTTTAGCGGTAGCACATACACCTTTACGTGGAACTGCTTGGTTGTTTTTATCTACTTAAGACAACTTTAAATGGTAATACTTCTTTCCTAAACACGGGAATTGTGCCTTTATATTATAAGGCTTGGTACTTTCTATCCATTGGAGTCATAGCTCTAGATAGAACTGTTTGGTACTTTCTATCTATTGGAGTCATACCTCTAGATAGAATTGTTTGGTACTTTCTATCTATTGGAGTCATACCTCTAGATAGAATTGTTTGGTACTTTCTATCTATTGGAGTCATACCTCTAGATAGAACTGTTTGGTACTTTCTATCTATTGGAGTCATACCTCTAGATAGAACTGTTTGGTACTTTCTATCCATTGGAGTCATACCTCTAGAT